CCACCCCTCATACCTGTCTAGATAAATGTGACTTCCTTAATTCCTTGGTTGTCAGACTTCCATACAGTTTGTTTTTCTGATGATTCTGAGTGTGTTTGTTTTGTAGTCTAGTTGTAGTTTTTACTGTGGTTGTGCACGTAGGCGAGCCATATTTACCTCTGCCTTCATCTTGACTGGTAGACCAGTCTGTCTATGTAAACATAACTCATCCAGAAACATTCTCACAGTAACACCCAAAATAATGTTTGATCAAATATCTTGGTACTCAGTGGCCTAGTCAAGCTGACTAAAATTAACCTTCACAATCACATGCTGGATTTTAGGGGGATACTTTTGAACCCACTATAATGGATTATTTTCAAAGCCTCTGAAAGATATTGAAAGGAATCTTGTTACAGTTTTCACTTTATAATGAAAAACTGCAGATAAAGCATGAAATCAGTGAGAGAAACCAAAAAGGTTGTTCAGTATAGATGAGAGCTGGTGACAACTTGAAGTGGTTATAACAGAGGGTTGGAAAAGTGAAGTTGGAAATGACCATATTTATCATACCTAGAACTTTTTTCAAGTTGTTAGTCTCCCTCCATTTTTACTTGAATATTTCCAGTAGCTCATTTCCCCATTCAGATATTCTATTTCATGTCTTTAGCAGCTATTAGTAAGCATATCCCCAAGACACCTTTGTTAGGATCAAGATTTCAAGTTCTTTAAGTTGTCACTGTTTCCTGAAACACTACAGAAAATCCAAAGATGGGCCTGTTTCATGACCTTTGCAAGAAATGTACTTGGCCATGATCCTTATGCTCTTACTAGGGAGAGAAAAAAGCATTAACATGGAGGTGGTTAGACAGGGATGTCAGACACAATTGGTGATTTAGAACAATTTAAAATATTCTATTTAAATTAGCCCTAGGGTCAGAGCACACATCTTATCTAGGGGTGGAGCACATACCCGTTTCACACCCAGGGAGCTGTAATAGTAGCTGTGGACTCTCTGTAGATCTCTAATGAATGGAGTACATCTATTTTAGATGGATAATCAATTTCGAAATCCCTTGTTGTAGGTAAGCTGTTAACACAGAAATGTTAACTTCATGAGTTTAATGAGTAGCTTCAATGATAGCTTTGTGACAGAGATGGAAAGAAAGTCAGGTGGGGGGTAGTGAGAAAGAGTAGAATGGGCATTTAATGAATATCCACTTGTAGACTAGAATGTCAGCAGCAACACTCTCCCTCCCGGAAAATGTCTTTCAACTGTGCATCCTATTACAATTCCTACAGCCCATAGTACTTTGGAGATTGAGACAGAATGTGTTTGTAAGAAACCTCTCCTTTGCAACATAATGAGATCGAGGTGTGTAATTTGCAGAGATTGCTAGAGCAGTGGTCAAGTCCGAAAAGAAAAAAAAAACCCACAGCAGAATGAAAAGACCATGTTAAACAGGAAATGACTCTTATAATGAGCCCAGAAAGTACATATCACAGTCAGCTGGCTGGCATTTTCTGATATTTTTTTGTCTTTTCAAGCAAAGTGCCACTTTTTCCTACTCTAGCTTCTCAGTCTCGCTATACCTCTAATTTCAACCTAGTACATTGAAAATATTGATGAATTGACAACTCTGCCACTTGAAGAAATAAGAACAAAGGCTTTTTTGTTATTCAAAGGATGTATTTGTCTCAACATGGGTGTATGGTATCATTTCAAATGCTGTTGTGTGTCTTTGTTGCATTAAAAAAATCTCCTTTAAAAAAATCTTTTCCAGCCACATTTTGAGTCATAGGCTTTTCTGGATTCTTTGGATACTTCTGCTACATAGTCGGGACGTTTTGCCTTCTCTCTTTAAGCAATAAAAAAGGGAGATCCATTTTCTCAGTAGAAATTGTTGAAATCATCTCTATTTCATTAAATGGTTCAGTGGTCAGGGTTAGGGCTTTACCTCTTGGTTGTATGATTCCTCTTGTATAACATGAAAAAGCAGTACCAATCCCTAAATGCACATCTGTAAATGTATAACTAATGTAACATCTTTCAAATAAAAAGATGTTTCTAAACATTGAATTCTTGTAGCATAATCTGTTGTTGCCCGGGTTCGAGGTATTCATGGAACTTCTGATTTGGAAAAATGTTACTGCTATCAAATATTTGCATCTGTATTTGGATACAGATGTAGATTAGACATACATGACTGAGGCTCTTCTGGGCCTTTTGGATAGCAAAGTCTCAGGGATGTGATGTATGTCATAAGCTGTCTGTGAAACTGACTGTTGCCCTGCTGCTGATCTCAGAACTTCTTACCTATTTCTGATAGTGAGGATCCTTTTAGCTATGAGGGGTAGTATTTCACTGAAAGTTAAATAGTATTTCACTGACCATACAAAGCCATAGTCAAATTCTTCAGAACAATTGGACAGAGAGAAATCTCTTTATTTTAGAGATGTTTTTGTTCAAATGCACCAGCTGTGATTGAAGGGAGCTGGAAATTGACCAAGAAAAATGTGGTTCAGAAGGGCGTAAGAGGGGAGGAACTATCAATCAATGCCATAGATACTTGGAAAGCAGAGGAGAAGGTTTTTTTCTACAAATTTTTTTGCCAGGTCCAGAAATCATAACTTAATAGCACAAATTTTTCCTATTAAAAAAAGTGAGAACAGTGGGTTGGAAAATGTGGGTAGCCTCTGACTCTGTTGTTCTGAATGTTTTCTAGCAAATGCCAAAACCCCAGTGGACCTGTAATGTATGAGAGGGACTAGCGTCTGTGTTTCTTTCTGTGTATGATGTGTTTGTGTGTGTGTTTGGGGGGGTGTTATAAGGCAGGGTCCTTAAATGCTTTGTTGCATTATGTTAATTCCTCGGCAGTGCAATCAAATTTATGTCGTAATTAAAGCTGTCAGTTGGAAGGCAAGCCAATCGCCACGAAAACACAGCATAACAAATGAAGTGAAATGATTCTGCGTGTAGCTATACAATGCTTCGCCAGGCATGAAATTAAATAAGTAATTTGATGTTGACATCAGAAATTGAAATGATACCCACTGTTCTCTCATTCAGTCAGACCTGCATAAACAATAGCCAGAACAAATATGCACAACAAAGCCCTCTTCTCCACCCAGCTCCCTGAGTAATGTACAATATATATGCAAAATGAGTATAACAGAGCTTTCCGGGACCTGAAGTATGTAATTTTCTTTGGTACACAATAAGATGATACGTGTGTGGAGGTGGGAAGGTAGGTTTGGAGGGGTACTTCTACTTCTGGGATGAAAATCATTTGCAAGATGAAAAAAATTTCTGAAAAAAACAAATCCATGTTTTTCAGAGTAATTCTTCCTAAAATGATTTTACCTCCCAGGGGCATGACTCCAGGCTGGTGGAGACCTAACCTAGTTTTTGCTTTCCTCTGCTCCATGGAAGGCTGTGGGTGTTGAAAACAGGTGATGCTGTCACATGGCTAATCACTGCTGTGAGAAACTGTCTCCATGACTACTGTGGATCTCCCTATGTACCATTTATGGGATCAAGAATGCAGCAGGCTTTTTTTAAACCAAGGCCATTGTGCAACATCACACGTCTGCCGTCCTTTATTCCCCTGAGCTTGTTTGGAACAAAGATGTGAAGAAAGTTTGTCTTTGGGAACTGCATTTAGGAATGCCCCGGAGCACACTATCCTTGTTAGATACTAATGTTGTCTGTACTTACAGCACTGTATTTCCTTTTTAGCAGTAGTTTAAAATTGAGAAGAAACACATCTATATTTTTCAGATATTAAATTTACCATTTTCCTTTATAGAATACATTTATTCATATATAGAATACATTTATTCATATATATATGTATTTATTCAACAAATATTTTTAAAAAAATACATCCTAAGTAAGGCATTGTGCTAAGCTCTGGGGAAGCAATTATGAGTAAACCATATGGCTCCTACTACCCATGGTTTGCAGAGCAGGGACAGGACACTTAGGCGGAGGAACTATGGGTGAACTGAATGACTGTTACATCAGAGTGGAAGTCAGGCCTCTCCAGGGAAGGCATGACACCCCACCCATGCCAGTCAAGGCTAGGCCTTGCTTGTGCGAGCACCCTTAGCTGAGATCAGAAGGCTGCCTGAGCATTAGCAGTATTTTTGTTTCAAGTTTACTTGGGATATCTCTTGTTCACAAAGAGGACACTAAAAATTAAAGAATATATACTGAGATGTTTTAGGAAAAAAGAGAATACAGGAAAACAGTCACAGACAAATGTAAAACACAACTAATTGCCTTTTTTTGGCCTTTGTCTCCAAAGAAGTGTTCTGCATAGCTTTGAGAATTTTTTTTTCTCCATGTGTCAGACTGTGGAAACCTACATTGATAATTCTTGGGACTAAAACCTTCATAAAATTGGTGCTTTTTACTGCTTTCCTTTACCCACACATTCTTTGCATTTTAGTCTACTAATTATGTTTACAAAATGTCTCATTTTTGAAAAGCACTCTGTGTGTACTAACTAGTGCCTTTAGGGAATAAACTGGCAAATAGGTCATACACTGGAAAAGTCATCCAAACCCACTGGGCTTTTTATTTTCAAGTCAGTCTGGGCTTTTTCCTCTTGCCTGCCCCTTTGCGGCCACAAAACTGAGTAGCTTGAGACCAGGGCATTGAATGTCAGCAAGTCAGGGAGTCAGGCTGATGTGTGTCTGTTTAGTCTCAGTGCAGGGCGAAATGCCATCATTAATTCATTACTCAGCTGCCTGTCAAATAAATTGGCAATTACGTCCACCGCAGAAGCTTGGAATTCAGTAAATAGCACGTTAGCATCTCTGAGTTGATGAGAGATGTAAAGGGGAAAATTAAGCAACACAGTGTTTGTATCAGGGGCAGATGACAAGGGGCAGCATACACTGGTGATGTGATGTAGTGATGAAAAGCCTGCAAAGGGCTGGTAATGACCTGTGTGGATTGGAACGTGTTAAAAACCATTGCTGATTTTCCACTTTGTCTTTATGCTTTATTGCAGAGTTCAGCTCCTTCCAGCTTGGGAACAGGCTACTTCGTAAGTTTATCTCAACTTCCACATGTGTGCCTTGCCTTGGCATTGATTTAATTCTGCAATATATGCTCATTAGGATGGAAAAAACAATCAAAGAAATCCCCTCTCAGTCCTAAAGAGCAGGCTGATATCCATCCTTTTATTAAGAATTGTTTTATTTTTAAAATAAGTAACTTGCTATGCCCTAGAGATCATCAGTCAGTCTGAGATGTCTGTTTGGTTCCCAGCATGTAGGACATTTGCCCTTTACTTGGCAGCAAAAGGGGCTACAGGTAAACCTGATTGGCTCATGCCACCTTTCCTATGGAATTGTTTTTTAGAGAGAAGTGTCATGTGGAGGATGGAGTTCATATTATATATTGAAGTATTTATTCAATTTTAAAATCTCTTAAAGAACTTCCCCACACATATAATGAATCACCTTTTTAAAAAAGTCTGGTGAGAGATAGTGTTTTGATGGATATTTTCCCTCACAGTCTAAGTAGGTGGCCTTCAGATTTCCTTTCATTAATCATTAAATTCCTCCCTTTAGCAAATAGATATATAATTTTATTTCTAGATTTTTCTTTGTTCTTTGGGAGGGGTGGGGATAGTGGCATACCTCAGGTATTGTCACAGTATTTTTAATAGAGATATAGTCACCCCATTTCACTTATTTATAGCAAAATTACCCTTTTTGAATTCAAGAATCCTTTTTAAAATGCAAACAAAAGACTTACCAATAGGTATTATTTACACAATGGCATAGCATGCTAGTATAGAGGCTTCTTATAGAACTTAAAGGAATCTGATTTGTGTTCTGAATGATGTACTCTGATACTCTAATGCTGGCTCAGCATTTTTGAGATAATAATGGAATCATGAAAATAAAATAAAGTGGAAAATAATTACTGATTCAGTTTAGTTGCTTTTATATTTCTTTCCTATAAAATGCTAATTACTCTGGTTTTCTTTGTCTACATGTTTTTCTCCATAGATTTACATAAAATATATGAAAACCAGCATCATATCATCAAATAAGTCTTTTTTAAGCTTGGCAGAAGTAGTGTTTTCTAAATTTTTTTAAATTACTCTATGATAGGAGAAAAAGGATAAAGATTTTTTGATACCTGCTTAATACAGTCAGCACACTTATTATTGTTCCTTATTGTGGCTGAATATTCATGCTTGCAGAGGCAAGCAGGATGCTTTAGCAGTCGGAATAACAGAAGTAATTCCATCTGCTATGTCTTCACACCAGTCTGCATGTGGGTTGAGATGCTCCAAGTAAAATCAGGAGACTGCCAGTATCTATTCTCTTTCCAAAAGCTCAATTCTTCCTCGGTGCTTTCTTCAGCAGAATAAGGCCAAAGCCACTTAGCCCTTGATCACTTCTAGGCTGAATATTCTATTATATTTTTATTGTTAGTGTGATCACCCTGAAAGAAGAAAGTCATGTTTAGAAACATCAAGAATTTTATTATGCTTTTGTCACTTTTTTCTATAACTCTAGGAATGTTTATTTTTATTTGCTAACAATACATAGCTATGATTAAAGAGTATGAAATTATAAATCTAAAATAGTTTTACACTTACATAATGCTGGATGAGTATAAAAGTCTTTTTTCTTATTGCTAAAATTGTTCTTAGCATTACTTTGCTCTTATTAAAATATTTGTAGTAATATTAACTTGCATGGATAAGAAGCATACCAAATGTATGTTCAGCTGTCAACTCTGACAGAAATGCTCTACTTAGACTGTGTTTTCAATAACAGGATCTTTATATTATCAAAGTGCAAAATTCATTGATATTATTGCCAAGTCCTCATCAAAAAGTGTTTTCTGTTTCAGTTATGATTCCAACAGTATCACATATAATACTTAATTTCAGGTACTAACTTCAACATTGATGAGTTTCACCTTTATAAGTAGAAACAGAATATTCACAAACTTTGAGTGGTTTAGTGCTGGTGTATTCTTTGTACAATGGTTTATGATCTGTAATGCTATGATAGCCTTTACTATGTCTTTTAATGAAGGCTCAGCATCAGGTAAGTAAAATGTTGGTATTTTTATTCTGTCCTTATCCTCTTCAGCATCTCTTTGAACTGTGGACGGAGACAAATCATTTGCAGAGTCAATGAGCTATTACTGCAGTTGAACCATAATGTGCATTCTGCTATAAGAATACTGAAGGCACTCACCTATTGGGTTTTTGACAACCCAGAACTGTTTTCTGAAACACTCTTCCATGCCCCAGCATAATTCCTAACTTCACAATCTTCTTCTGTTTAGATTGTGACACTTCTATAGCGCTTTTACTAAACTGAGGTAAAATGTTGATCACTGTGTGTGTACTAATAAAATAGACACCCACCTTAGTATATGCACATACATGACTGTGTGTACACACACACACATTCCTAATCCACAGCCAGTATAGTCTACTTTCTTTTAGTTTGTTTCATTTATCAGTAGTAGTAAGTTGAAGGGTTTAAGGAAGAATCCTTTGTTTTTGACTTAGTAGTATTTGTTTATATCTCCTTGGTTTTGTGTTCCAAAGATGTCTGCTTAGGTCTGTCACTTTCCCAATCCATTTATAAGCTGAAGATTTGAGAAATGAGAACAGCCGCTAAAAGCAGTATTTACACAAGCATATTGCAAAGAATTCTTAAAGTAGACAAAATAGAGAAGGGTTGGAACAAATTTTTCACATTTTTGGGAGCTTTTGAATAATGTGGGTGTTATGCACACAGACACACACCACACACACACATACACATATTCATTATGTACTTATGCCTAGTTCATATTCTCAATATAAATGTAAGCCTAGACTAGTTGGAGTCTATTTCCTTTTCTTTTTTTGGCAAGAATACCAAAAGTTGTTGGAGTGTTTAGGCATTTTCTTTTTTTTAAATGTTAATACAGTGAACACATATTTTTAATTTAAATGTTTATGGATATATTTTCTTCTTATATATGTATTTGAAATTTTATTGTGCATAATTTTATTGATCAACTTAGAGACAAAATAATCTGAAGGCTAGTGGTGTGACCTTGGGCAGAGTATTTAATGTCTCTGAGACTATATCATCATCTGTACCTACCTAATGGAGTTGTGGATATTAAATACGGCCCATCATCTTCAATAGCTTGGATCCTGCTTATGTCAACTCCCATGATTCAGAGTTTTTCCTTAGATTCTCAACTCATAGATTTCATCCTTAATTGGATCACATATAGTAATATACACACCTTTAAAATTATTGAGGAAACCGACCTACTTCTACCTAGTGATTAAAATTACCACATGATAATAATAAAAGGGAATTGTATAGTGGCACACATATTTAAATGGGATTTGTATAATTATTGTTTTCATTTGCAGTTGAATAACTTAACAAGTTTTAATGATAGCACTGGTAGTATGTTGTAGGTGCCAAATACTGACCTGTGGCTTTCCATCCAGAGTTAAAAGGTTATAAATGGGTAAAATTTTTTGTCCTGATCTGAGTTTTAGACTGCAAATCCTTGAAGTATCTCCTGTTTTTCTTTTTTTGAAGTATATTTTATTGATTATGCTATTACAGTTGTCACGTTTTTCTCCCTTTTATTCTCCTCTGTTCTGTACCCCCCTCCAACAGCATTTACCCCCACCCTTTAGTTCTTGTCCATGAGTTGTACATATAAGTTCCTTGGCTTCTCCCTTTTCTATACTCTTCTGAACCTCTCCCTGTCTGTTTCGTACCTACCATTTATACTTCTTATTCCCTGTAACTTTTTCACATTCTTCCCCCTCCCCCTCTCTTCAGGTAAGCCTCCCCATGATATCCATTTCTGTGATTCTGTTCCTGTTGTAGTTGTTTGCTCAGTTTATTTTTGCTTTTGTTATTTTAAGGTTCAGTTGTTGGTAGTTCTGACTTTGTTGTCATTTTACTGTTCATAGTTTTTGATACCTTCTTTTTCTTAGACAAGTGTCTTTAATATTTCATATAGTAAGGGCTTGGTGATGATCAACTCCTTTCACTTGACCTTATCTGGGAAGCACTTGTCTGCCCTCCTATTCTAAATGATAGCTTTGCTGGATAAAGTAATCTTAGTTGCAGGTCCTTGGCTTTTATGACTTTGAATACTTCTTTCCAGCCCCTTCTTGTGTATAAGATTTCTGTTGGGAAGTCAGCTGATAGTCTTATGGGAACTCCTTTGTAGGTAACTGTATCCTTTTCTGTTGCTGCTTTTAAGATTCTCTCCTTATCTTTAACCTTGAGTGATTTAATTATGTTGTGCCTTGGTGTAGTTCTCCTTGGGTCCAACTTCTTTGGGACTCTCTGAGCTTCCTGCACTTCCCAAAATTCTATTTTCTTCACCAGATTGGGGGAGTTCTCCTTCATTATGTTTTCAAATACATTTTCCATTTCTTGCTCTTCCTTTTCTCCTTCTGGCACACCTATGGTTCAGATGTCAGAACATTTAAAGTTGTCCCAGAAGTTCCTAAGCCTCTCCTCATTTTTTGAATTCTTGTTTCTTCATTCTGTTCTGGTTGAATGTTTATTTCTTTCTTCTGGTCCAAATCATTGATCTGAGTCAAAGTTTCCTTCCTGTCACTGTTGGTTCCCTGTACATTTTCCTTTATCTCACTTTTCATAGCCTTCACCTTTTCCTCTATTTTGTGACCATACTCAACCATTTCTGTGAGCCACCTGATTACCAGTGTTTTGAACTCTGCATCTTATAGGTTGGCTACCTTTTTGTTGCTTAGTTGTATTTTTTCTAGAGCTTTGATCTGTTCCTTCATTTGGGCTGTATTTTTTTTTCTCTTCATGCCTGTTACCTAGCAAAGGGTGGAGCCTTAGGTATTTGTCAGGTGCAGAGGCTACTTTTCCCCCAAGTCCCCTCATCCACCAGGGATAAAAGTAAACATGACATGACATGATCTGCTTGGGGAGGAGAAGTGGCCAGTTTCTCCGAGGAAAAAGGCCTTGAGCAGTGGCCAGTTTCTCAGGGGAAAAAGGCGTTGAG